TCCTCCTCTGTGTTAGGTCCCAAGCTTTCCAACTACTGAGCATGACTTTGGAAACAGTCTTTGTAGATGTAAACACATTCAAATGAGGTCATATTGGTTTGCAGTGAGCCCCAACACAGTGACAGACACCTTTATAAGAAGAGATAGGGCATAGTGGCAGACACCTGGACTTTCAGTGCTCAGGAGTCTGAGGCACGAGGATTGCTAGGCACAGATAGAAGAATTGAGAGTGCTGACTAAGGAGACACTGGAGGGCCACATTTACAAGTAATGGGATGCCAAGGATCTAGTGAAGACCCTGGAAGCTAGATGAGACAAGGGGTTTGCCTGGCCATTTCAGAGGTAGCATGGCCCCTGGTGACAGCTTGATTTCAGACCTCCACCTTTTAGAAAACAGAGAGAGAGAGAGAGAGAGAGAGAGAGAGAGAGAGAGAGAACATTCTATTGTTTTCAACTGCTGGGTCTATGGTATCTTATCACTGCAGCCGAAGAAAGCTAATATAGCATAAAAAGTCAATTATATCAATTATATTTATGCTGAAAAACATGATATACACACACTAAAAGAATGTTGACCTTCCCTGGGGCACACACTGCTGGAATTGGAAACTGACTGTCGCTGTCCTTGCTGACACTGCCATCTTGTATGAGAATTGCCATATATTGTCCCGAGTCATGCTTGTCTCAGAGCTCAGTCCAATTGATCTCACCACTTTGTAGTCAGAGTGACCTTATTAGAATCTGACTGCATCACCCAACTTCGTGAAACCTTCTGTGGCTTCCTTATTGCACTGACAATAATATCCAAGTTCCTCTAACAGATTCTCACCACCCTCCCTTCCTCTGCCTGGGTCCCCCTTTTTTCTTTAACCTCCCCACTGCCTGGCTGACTCATATTGAAATGTCAGGTTTTGATACAGATTCCCTTTCCTGTGGCTTAGCTGACATCATAGATAATCCCATGATCCACCACAATTTTCCTTGCACAGCATTAATGTGAAATTTATTGCACCTGTCAGGTTAGTGTCCAAGGTCCCCTCTAGTCCTCTCGATTCTATAACTCACAACTGTCCACAAACCAGAATCACTAGAGTTTGTTAAAGATGCAGTCTCAGGTCCAACCAGAGCTCCAGAACAAGTCATGCTTGTTTATTTATTTATAATTTATTATTATTATTATTATTTTGTTTTTTGAGACAAGGTTTCTGTGTAGCTCTGGCTGTCTTGGAATTCACTCTGTAGACCAGGCCAGCTTTGAACTCAGAGATTCATCTGCCTCTGCCTCCCAGGTGCTGAGATTAAAGGTGTGAGCCACCACTGCCAGGCTGCTGAGTATTTTTAAAAATGTATCAAGCAATAGAAACTTATAGCTATCATTACTGCCATTCTCATTATTTAAAGGTTTTCTTCTGAGACAGTTCTTATGCCCAGGCTGTCCAGGAACTCACTATGAGACAGAACT